CGATTTTCCCCCACCCCTATTAGTAATAAATTTTGAAATGGGATGAAACATTATAAAAAAGGGTTCTTTTCAAATACAATAATAACTTAACATTATTGCATTTATAAAAGCAAAATGGGTATAACAATCAGTTGTCACCTGCTCATAGATTTCAATCGCTTTCTGGTACTGCTCCAGCTGAGCGCTGTAGTGTCCGACCTTCAGAAGACATTTGTTAGCTGAGCTGAAAAGACACAAACAAGAAATTTTACTTTGATATCTGCTGTTTCTTTCATACTGAATCTTCCTACAGATGACTGACAGTTTTTTACCCACAGACTGTATACAAAGCGTATTATCCAGCTGTAAAGACCATCAGGCTTGGCTGAGTGAGCATCACTCAATGACCACTTCATCATAGTACGAGTGGCACCTTTAGCATGAAACACTCCACCAGTGTCAACAATATCACAGTCACATTAATACATGTATAGTTATACATTTTCCCCTAAGGGCTATAACCACTGATTATATTTTAATCACAGATCAGGTTCTCAGTTTTTTCTCACTAATCAGACTAAAGTGTGGTCCGTCAAACTCCAAGAAACACAATTTTCGCCAAATCAAAAGAAATAAGACACATAAATACCAAATAAGCAATAAAATCAGCAACCCCACTTCCAGATTAACCCTCTGTGTAAACTCTTATGTTTTCCTTTGTCCTTTGTTCAGTTGTCTGTAATCATACTCTGGTTGGTTCCTTCCAAGTTTTCACAAAATGATAAACTAGTTTCATAAGTATGCTGATGAATATGGGGTAAATTTAGTAGTTGAACACAATAGGTCTGCAAAAAAAATGTATAAAGACAGCATTAACATCCACAGTTAGTTTAAGAGAGAGCAACTCCAGGAAACAACAAACAGGGGCAGAGAAGACAGAAACTGTCATGGTCCCCGTGTCTCGCTGGCTGGCTCGGGCTGTATCCCAATTCAGGGTCTGCAGCCTTAAAGTACGCAGCCTCAACGATCCTCAA